AGAAATTTGACTCTTGTGTATTAATTTCAAAATCTGTTATTTTTAACTTGCCTGGACAGATCGGCTAATTAAGTTAGAATAATTCCAGGAAATAAGTTTAAATGAATTGCAACAAAGAATGTGCATCATTTAATAAGCTGTACAAAGAAGTCATGTGGTATTCACATCATATTTTTTTTTAATCTCATGTTTCCAAAGAATTTTTCTTAAGAATCTTAATGCTTAGAGAAAACAACTGTCATAAATCAGGAAAATCTGAAGTTTTCTTGAAATGAGATTTTCAAGCACAATATTTAGACATTGACAGTAAAAAAACTACTGTATATTTCCATGTATAAGGAGAAAATTTTTGGAACTTTTGTATTCATACTTTTTTTACTCAGCTAAATTACGGGGGTTGGCTTATACTTCTTCTTCTTCATAAGCTCCACAGCCTGTTACAAGCCAAGGCGGTCTCTCTAAGTTTCCTCCACCTGACCTTATTCGGCGCAATAGCCTTCCATCGATTAACTACAATTAACCTTAAATCTTGGCTTATACACCAATCCATTAATCTCACAAAAAACATAGGTACTTTATCGTTAGCTGGGTGCAAGCAATAAACCACTAATCCATTCCCGGTCAACCATTTGCCAGAGTTTGTCTTCTGAATGTGGCAATGGCAGGGTCTGCAAATTGTGTCCAATCACATCCCAAATCTATTCGATTGGTGAGAGATCAGCAGATAATTGTGGCCAGTGAAGCATCTATACATGTTGCAGAGCACATTGCTGATGCGAGCAATGTGTGGTTGGATGTTAGCCTGCTTACAAAGGGCTCTGGACACTCCCTGAAGGTAGGGGTTTATCACCGGCTGCAGCACATCATCCACGTATCAATGGGCTGTCGTAGATCCTGAATATGAACTAGAGGTGACCTGGAATCATACGCAATTGTGCCCCAAACCATGATGCCATGTTGTCGCACGGTGGGGCATTCCACAATTGCTATTGGATTGGACCTGTCTCCACATCAACGTCAAACTCGTACAAGGCGACTATCATTAGGAGTGAAGCGTGACTCATCTGAAAACACGACCTTGTGCCATTCCGTCATCGACATCTCTTGAGCACATACCAATGCAGACATTGGGTTCTCTGATGTGGGGTCAATGGCAGTTTTCTTAACAGATATCCTGAATGCAGGCCATTAACCACCAATCGACAGCAAATGATTCTGATCGATATGGGAACATCTAAGGTATTTTGAACATGCTGCAGAATAGAGGTAGAAGTGGCTCGTGGATGCTGCACTGCTTGTCAGCAGATGCGTCATTCCATGCGTGCTGACGTCACTCTGGCTGCACCAGCACCACTCAAACGTGCCACATTTCTTTGTTCCAACCATTGTCACCACATCCGGTGCATTGTGGACGTGTCCAGATATATGTCAACTGAGATTTGCCATGTGGACCAACCTGCCTTTCTCAGTCCAATCACCATGCCCCTTATAAAATTGTCTGTCTGCTGGAACTGCCTCCGTTGATGATGGCCTGGCATTCTCTGCTATTACACACATCCTCCAAGACAAGAAAAAATTTTCTACGATATTTCCCTAGTAGAAACAACGACCCAAAAATTTTAGTCTGCTGAGTTCTGAATTATCTTTTCTTTAGATCATACAATCCACTTTAAGCTAACCTTGCACCAGCAGTAATACCCACAACTATATCTGCAACATCACAATAAATGGTTTGATCCAGAATATCTATTTTTATCAACATTTCAGGAGTTTCTGCCACTCGCAGTAAATCCCTTTTGACAAATTTTTAGAGAAGTTGACTTAGCATACTATGTTACGTTGTGCACAGAAAGGGGCACATAGTATTAGCTGCCTGAAATGATGTTAGAAATGGATGTTGAACTCTCACAATTGAAATAAAAAAAAAAGAATTTTGCTAAAAGGAACTTTTCTTTAAGCTTCTCTTGGCCATTCAACTGACACAATCTTTGGCAGTTTGGATGATCTATTCTATTATATCAGATGATATATTCCTTTTATATATTTTTCACATGAAGAAAATATCAGTGGCTCTTTCAGTGACAGGTATGTTTTCACACCATCTTACTTCACGAAATTTTCGTGGAAAACTTGTATAATTTTTACGGCAATATGATCTGCTTACTGAGCAGGACTACCTTTAAATACTCTATGCATGTTTTTAAATAATGCACTGCACTTGGATTCCAGCCAGTAGTTCTATGCCCACCTCTGAAGGCAATGGCAACGATATAGGACCCAATATTTAATAAGTAAAAAATTTTATTATTTGCTAATTTTTTTTCAGTCCTCTGAAGAATTTACGATGCCATTTGGTGCATCCAAGGACACCTGGAAAATTTTTTTTATCTAGCTTTGAGGTTCCCTCAATAAACTTGAGGTAACTTGTGGTCACTTTCTCAATATTGTACCAAAAACCTAACAAAAAGATCCATTTGACCTTTATGGACAATTCCATTTCAAGCGTCATCGAAGCATATTATGAATAAGGTTTTCTCATCAGAAATGAGCATATTTTGTACATTGAGCTATACCAAACTATGTTAAATATGAGATTTTTCATGCATCAGAAATGAGCATTTTTCTAAGTATGAAGCTATACCAAATGACACTAAATATGAGGTTTTTGTATGTCTCAGGTTCTAAGCTTTAGCTTTATTGCTGTTATCAAACATTTTCTGAAACAGAAGAGCAGCATCATTAAAAACATTAAAAGAAATGGGTGGAAAAACAAGTTTCATAGCCCACAGTAATGCCACAACTAAAACTTTATCCTTAGCTACAAATTAGTGTTTAAATTTGATGATTCAGCAAGTGGTGCCTGAGACTGTGTATTTCAGAACTATTTTTATTTGTGAAGATTTTTTTTTTTTTTCATTTTCTAAGTTTGTAGAAAAGACTTTTCTTATACTTTACACTGTTAATGTGGCTTGTGATTGCTTTCCTTCCCACGTTACTAAGCATATTTTTTTTGGCAAAGCTTGCATGTTGCCATGTCAGGAGCTCCTTCAATAAGTTGCAACCATTGACACCATTGAGGATTGAGATTAAAATCTGCCCAATCCGGATTAAAAAATGTCTTTTTTGCCAACATTTTATAGCTAAAGAAAGCTATTAACCACTTGTGCTAAAAAGACGTGTCATGCATGTTGAGATGCTTGTCTCAAACCGCGTGCAAAAATGAAAATAACGTTGTGCACACGTCACCTAACAACGAGATTGTTTATTTCTCGAGTTACAGCTCTAGATTGTACTCGCACACACGGAGCGGCATAAATGAGACACTTTATTGCTTGTTATATTGTAGCGTACGGCCCCACAACCATGAAGTTTAGTTGTAGCGCAAGTGGTTAAAGAATATTTTAAAATAAATTCAAGTATATTATATTTACTTAGCAGCATAGACAAATAAAAAATATGTGTACTAAATTTCGCAATGGTATGCCATCATACCGATAGAATTAGTTTCATGAGCATGTCAGAAAAAACTGACTGAAATTTTAAAGTATTAATAACTAATAATAAACAAATTTAGAAGAAAAAAGGCCACTTAAATGATGTGAATTACATTAAAGTTATTTATTTAAAGACTGAAAAAGATTAAATGTGGAGTTACAATAATCTACAGTATTCTAGCGAATATAGATACATTAAATGGTTAGCCTAGATGACTAATTATTTTTTTTTAGATTGTTACTACAAAATAATAAATAAAGCATTTATTAAAAAGAAAGGTTAAAAGGTTTTATTTTGTAACAGAATAGGGGCAAACATTATTATATTTAATGGATTTGTTTTTGAATTTGGCTGTGAGTTCTGCCGCCATTTGCTTCCTGAAAATAAAATTTTAAATGCACATCATTTAAAAATCAAAACAACAGAAATTCAAGTTCAGAACAAAGAAATATTTTGGCATCTATCAAATGAAGTGTCACATTTTTCTTACATAGTTTTGAAATCTGATAATCATGGTATATTCACATCGCAAACAATGTTGAAAAGCTTAACGGTTTAACTTGATTTTGTTTAAATATGCACAATATTATAATTAAAAAAACATCTATATAGTATATCTTTAAAAATGCAATGCATGAATTCTTATTTTAACATGCAAATATGATAGAGTGTTAAAAAAACATACATTTAAAAAAATATTTAATAATGCATTACACAGATTAAAGTTTCACTTACCATATTTTTAAACTGGAGATGACAACATAAAAACAAGCTATTTCTTGCAAAGAATTTGAGTTTTTGATTCACTTCTAATGTTGGCGTAAAAATTGCATTTTTGGGATGATCACAACATGAAATTTCCCGACTTTGCCTAAAATCCCTACATTTTTGGTCAATTTTCGAATTCCCTGCCTTGTCCTGCTTTTCAGGTAGCTTGTCGCCCTGATTAATATTTCTCACAACCTTTTTGTTTGCTCTCTTCTGTATGACTTCTCTATTTCTCATTTTTTTTTAAACCCTCTTAAATAAAAGAAGCACATAATTTTGACTTTAAACAGGTCAAACCAATTACCATATTAATTACGTCACAGACTTGCTCATTCTCTTTCATTGAGTATGTCAAAGAAGAAAGCCCTCTGGGAATATGCTATGTGCATACTTAGGTTACCACAAAAATAATTTTTGGCAACATTGTAGATTGTCACATAATTTAACAGTTTTCATGGCTTTTCGGTAGGGGACCAGTTAAAAGAAAGTATCATGAAAACAATAATTTTCTTGTTTAAAATGTATAAAAGGGTGACATTTATTCCATTTAATTTTAATACTTCAACATATCTTCATAATCAAAAGGAAAACCAAGTGAGGTTTTACCAAGTACCAAGAGTAGGAAAAATGGTTTCTACTAAATAAATTATTGAAGACCTTACAATATTTTTAACACAGCTTCAAAAGAATTTAAAACAGTGACATTTATTACATTTAATATTAATACTTCAACCTACCTTCATGATCAAGGGGAAAACTTCCTTTATCTGGAGGAGTAGGAAAAAATGGTTTCTGCTGAAATGTTACTGAAGACATCACAATATTTTTAACATAGCTGCAAAGGAATTTAAAATGATTAAAATGATAAATAACAGTTTTTAATCTATTTATTGCAATTCGGAACTACTCTTATAAGCGCCCTCAGGTCGCCAAATTTCTTGCCAAATATTTTTGGTGAGAAACTCCCCACCACCATATTACTACCTAAATTTTCTGTCTACATTTCGAATTTTAAGCCTAAAATATTTCCAAAAACGCGGTTTGCACACATGCAAAACCACATTTTTAAGACACAAACAAATCCGAAACAAAAACAAAAGATTTAGATAGCAAAAACATAAAGTTTCTAACCAAAAATATCTGACAAGAATCCATATACACAGCGATATGTTTAAACTTAAAAAAACATCTACGAATTGTACATTCTAGGCAGCAAAGGAATCTACGAACTACACACACCTCGCTTCCATAAATTAGCATAACAACAATAAATTTCAAAGAATACCATGTACACAGCATTCTGTTTAATCTTAAAAAAAAAAAAAAAAAAAAAAAAAAAAATCTATGAATTGCACAATCTAGGCATAGCGCACAAATCAACCATATAAACTAAATTACAAACAATTCAAAAAACAACAATCACAACAGAAATTCATAGTAAAAAAACAATGAACATAACATTCTACAAAATAAAAACAGTAAAATAAAATGTGCTTGCCATAATACATTCCTGAATAAAATTTCACAACAAGACAGTCACAAAACATCTCTGAACTAAAGTGCAATAATTTTGCTATATCACATGTCTTTCTGAGATTCAAAATTTCGAAAGTAACGATAAAAACTTCCTCCAAAGTTAACTTACTACATCAAAACCACAATCCAAATCTTAAACTTCGCTGACAGCCCTTACCAGCAACCATTTGACTGTAAATCCAACAAGAACTATCAGAAACGGCCTTCTTTGCCCGAGTTCTCATAGCAGCTCCGGATTTCGGACTCCGTTTTAAAAGTCCCACAGAAATTCCAAAAATATACTTCAATCCTCATAAACACACCCGTGAACAAAAGACTAGTTAACAACTCCAACATCGTACCTTTTAATACTAAATTTACTTTTCACACAATCTAAAATACGTGACTGAAGTCTTGCCATCACGGCTATCATTGCAACATTGGCCATTTCAAAACACGCACAACACGAGCAAAAGATTTTTCAATGTCAACAGGGTTGCCATATAACACACAATCGCGCCCAAAACCAAAGCAGAACACATATTGCTACATTTGGTGAAATTAGGGTGCATATAAGAGTAGAGTCAAAAGTCGTTAATACGGACTCGTCGGGACATCGGTGATTCCGGATTATAGATCATCAGTTTAAACCTCGTAAGATGGCATGCAGAAATTCTAAAATTAAAAATATAAAACCGTAATTTATGAAGTAAAGAACAATTATAATCTAAAGGGTATCAAAATTTACAAAAAAAAAAAAAAAAAAAAAAGGCTTAATATTTATTTGTTTACTTTATTAAACATTTTTTTCAATGTAAGTTGTTTCGTTTTATGTGATAATACTTTCTCTTTAATTCTATAAACAGACAAAATTTCTTGTTCAGTTACAAAGTTCCGCTGTTCAAGTCCCGTAATTGCTGTGCCGAGAATACCGACTAACTTGTCAATCGAAATTTTTTCATTTTCACTAACCTCTCTGTCACCTTCTTCATGTCTTTATCCATTTTTTGCAGCAATTCCACTTTTTGTTTGACGGACATCGAAACATACTTTCGTTTTGTAGATCCTTTGCGAGCTCCAGCATCGGAAATTCTATTTGACATAATCGAAGGTTCAAGTTTACTTTTATAAAATTGCTCTTACAGTCTGCAAAAAATAATAAGTCGCATCCAATTCGAAGATTAAGGAGCAACACAATCATCAACATTAACTGAAATAGATAATTAGATAATTTTAGCTTATACCGTCCGTTATACATTAAACGCGCATGCGTAAACGCCTATGCGCATGTGTCAACGCGGCGCATGCGCAGAAAGTTTTTAGCTTTGAGGTCCGGATTATGATGAACGACACAGTCAGAAGTCTTTCATCCGGACCTCAAAGCTACAAACTTTCTGCGCATGCGCATACCATGTTTACACATGCGCATTTAATGTATAATGGACGGTATAAGATAAGCTAAAATGATCTAATTATCTATTTCAGTTAATGTTGCAGATTGCGTTGTTCCTTAATCTTCTAATTGGATCTGGCTTATTATTTTTTGCAGACAGTTAAAACACTTTTATAAAAGTAATCTTGAACTTTCGATTATGTCAAAAAGCATTTCCGATTCTGGAGCTGCCAAAGGATCTATAAAGCAGGTTTCGTTTTGGCAATGTATCATAAGACTGCAAAAGCATTTTCAAACAAAAAGTGGACTTGCTGCAAAAAATGGATAAAGGCATATCCTTTGTTTCTCTAACCATTCTGAAATCTGTTTATCAATTTCCCGCTGCTCTGCACCGGAAGGGGGGGGGGAAGGTGGACAACGTGCAATGAACTGGAAGTTGATCTGTCAGCACTATCCTTATCTCCAAGGCAGATGTTTTTATTTTATTCGGCTTATAATTTCTTAGTAAATGTAGTATTTCATCTCGATGTGCTCCATCTTTGATATGATTTAAATCAAATTCCTCGTCATTATAAATATCACGAATACACATCAAATAGTTTTCTGGTTGCAATTTTCTAATTTCGACTATGCGTAATGTACGCTTTACACATGTGCACTTTGAAAGAAATGTTTAATAAAGTAAAAAAATAAATTCTAAGCTATTTTTTTGTAAATTTTGATACTTTTAGATCATAATTGCTCTTTATTTCATAAATTACGGTTTCATATTTTTAATTTTATAATTTCTGCATGCCATCTTACCAGATTTAAACTGATGATCTATAATCCGGAAAAACTGATAATCCAGAATCGCCGAAGTCTCGAGTCCGTATTAAAGACTTTTGACTATACATACATTTAGAATAAGTTTTATTCTTTTTTTCACATTTACATATTAAATGGTATTGATCTCTTACACTCTCAAATATGCACTAAATTTTCTGATAAAGCACTGTGATCTGAATTATATTATTGTACTGTATTAGTTGACAGTTATTAAGTCAACTAATACAGTACAAAGTCCGAGATCCGGACTCGTCAGGACTTCGGCAATTCTGGATTTGGGATTTTTCCGGATATTAGATCATCAAAATGATCTAATGCCATCTTACTAGATTTAAATTAAAAATTTACAATAACACAGAAAACGTTAAAAAATCACCCCTTTGGAAGCAATTTAAAATCTGAAATCTTTCAGATTTTTTTAAAATGTTGTCTTTTGGTGAATTTTAGTGAATAAAAGCAACTTATTATGCAATTATGGCATGGCACTGAAATACCTGTCATGTGACAGATTTACCATCCTTGCCTTAGAGAGTCACGTGCAGGAAATGGAAGAGTTTAAATTTTAAAGCAATAAGTTGATAAAAAAATGTTTAATTGAATAAATATTAGTGTAGTTAAAAAATCCTGCTAATTAATGAAATTGAAGAATTGAAAAAGAAGATGTGAGATAAAAACTGAAGAGCTGGAGCAAGGCAGTATTTGGTGGTCATCCTCCAAACTACTTCTGCAGAATCTGCACTTATGTATTTTTTCCAATGTGCTGTGATGCTGTGAAGTTGTTACTGCAGATGATAAAGAACAGCTTTAGGTCTCTTTCAGCTGCTTTGTAAAATCAACAACAGAGAGAAGAACTGGAATACTTGGGTTATCATTCCTGATATCGCTGTGACAGTTTTTCGTATTACTGAAAATGGAGAAGTGATGGTCAGAATATTAAATTCTTTCCATATGACTGCATTTCTAATAAACCAGGGGCATTTAGTGGCATACCTAATAGTCATATTTTGTAGCTGCTCGATTTTAAGTAAGTCCGAATTACTGAGATATCCCCAGACAGAGCTGGCACAGGTTAGTCAAGGACACAACATGGTCTGGTAAAAATATATTTACGAGTACCCCATGGCTATTTTTGGTGGTACGTGAACACTGACTTTGTGCCATTTTTTGACTTGTTATTTTGGCTTTGTGTGGCGGTGATTTTAGCGCCAAAAATTGAAGCTACACAAAGACAAAATAAGTCAAAAAATTGCACAAACTTGGTATCTATGTACGCATTCACCTAGTTTCACTTAAATTACAGAATTGCACAAACTAGGCATTGTGCACTCCCTGGACTTCATCCATGTACACGTCAAACTATTTTCACTTAAAAACAAATGAGAGATAAGCACAAACTTGGCTTTGCATACTCCCTTGACTTTGTCCATGTACACATCGATATATTTTCACTTAAAAAGTCAAAGGAGCACCCAGTTCTAGGTAAAAGAATATTTATGGGACATTCAACTACTCAGGTTACCATAAATGAAACAACAACTTCGCGATAAATGAAACAACAACAATACGAAAATACAACGGGTACCCTTCAGTCTACTCTAACCCATAGTCTTACTTATATGTGAATAGTTTGTGATCACTAGCTGAAACATTATTTTGAGAAATTAAGGGGATGAGTGCAGTTTACCCACTCAAAATTTAGAAATTATAAGTTTAATGAAGGGCCGAGATATTTGACTTAAATTTTTGTACGAATTATTGATTAAAATTTTGGAATAAATTACTTTATTGCAAAGAACATTTTGATGATATTTATTTTGTAACAAAGCAAGGCTTAAAATAGATAAAAAATAATATATTAGGAGAAAATATGGAATATGTACTTCAATATTTAATACAAGACCTATGCAATTAAATTTCAGAAATATAACTGTCTGACAACAAATGTGAGCCACCGTCCCTCGACCACACTGTGAATTATGTTTCACAAAACCTTGTATTCTTGGTATACCAAAAGAAAATCTGATATCAGTAAATGAGCATTTAGCTTCAAAACTGTAAAACCTATGTTTTTACCTCTACTTTTTTTTTTTTGTGTAATAGAATAACAAAATTCCTGCGTGTGCAGTATAAGAAGCCGACATGTCTGCAGTGTTCTAAACACAAAAGCAACAACTATATATACATAACTCGGAAGTTTAGACCATACTGCAATTACTAGTGTCTAGTATTTAAGTTTACCTTTTAACAGCCTATCCGAAATGACGTATTTGATCTATTTCCTACTAAAATTTAAATATTAATATCTGCATAGTACCGTAGTGTTCTCTTAAAATTTTTCAAATACTAAAATCACACACTCGTGTCAGTTAGTTGTTAAATGTAGCAGTAATTAATTAACAATAATTAATAACTATGCTTAGGAATAACAATAATTTCTGATGCCTTTCAGCAATTTAATACAAAAAGACGGCCGTATATAGTTACTACCTGTAAAAGTCTTACCTAACAACACATAGTTTGAATGCCGCGAAATGTAAACAAACGGTAATACGTCCTTTCGATTCAGTTCAGTGATAAAGTTATGATATCCTTTAAAATATATAAATAACAAATTCAATAGCAATATTATCAAAGTAAAGTAATTTATAAAGTTTGCCTTTCATTATTAACACGAATAAATAACAAATTTTATTAATCTGCAATTAAGGCTGAAATTAATGATAATGTGAATGGCATCAGTAGGTAAATGTTTTGTAAAGAAAGTTTGGTGTTCTATGTTGTGTTATTTACAATGTCTGGCATTTATGGAAAGAATTCTGCTGACATTGATAAACTGACTGTCAGTCGCAATGTGACTACTGCTTCAGGATCTAGATATTTGTTTTGTTGGTATACGTTTGCGTAGGAAGCTGGAAACTCTACGGAAGGAGATGAAGGCCTCACCTTCACAAATTTTCAAGTATGTGTTTATTTCATAGCTTTGGTGTCTAAATTTAAGTGTTGTAAGGTAAATATGTAAAACGAAGATTTCATAATTTTTTTAAAAACCTTTTACAAGATGTTTCCTTTTCAGTAAGTGATATTTGTTATTATTTTTATTATCCGTACGCGTTTGTTTATTATTGTAAACATATGTTTTTCTTTTGGTTTTCCCATATTAGACCTTGTACCGTCATTTAAAATGTTGTTTAACATTTCAGAATTAAAGCGTATTATCAGATTGATGTTACATCTGATTTCTACACAGTTACCGTAATTTTGATTATCGCTTATCTCATAAGGTTGAATTTCAGAGTGGAAAAGAAATTTTTGTTGCTAACAGTTTTGGAAATTGTATGATATCTGTTGATTTGTTTTTCGTTTGTAAGCGTAAATGTCTTCATCTTCCGGGTGAATATATATATATTTCTTGTTTAACTTTTTTTCACACTTTGCTACTGTATGTTTTAATTATTGTTCTACTGAAATGAAAATTAATTAATGTATATTTCTATTTTTCTGTAACTAAATGGTATTTAAATATTGTACCTGAGTTGTATATGTATTTCAATACCATTTGATTTTAATCCATTTTATTTCATCTATCTAATTTGTTTCATACTTTTTTATAGATAACTGTTAATGTGAATTTAATTTCTTGCTATATATCTATGTGCTAGGTTATATTAGGTATCAAAGATCAGTTATGATTTTAAATACAGAAAAAAAAAAAAAAAAAAAAAAAAAAAAAAAAAACAGTTGTTTATATATTGTGTCATATGTGCAGATGTTTGTGACTATCCTGCAAAACTCAAATATTTTGTATCTTTTTTCCTCCTCCAAAGGAAAACTTTTTGTGTCTGAAACTGCTGTCAATAATTTCGTACTTCTTATAGTAATTCAAATAATTTTATGAAGAAATGTAGCTGGAAATTCATTAAATATGTTCAAAACTCGATCAAATCCTATGTGTTTTAGAATATTTGAATTTACATCTTGTTGTAAAAGAGCAATTTGTGGTTTATTACAATGTAAATGTAATTTTTAATTGTCAAATAAAAGCTGTGTTCATTAAAGTAAAACTAAGTGCATTAGCTAAAATCCAAGCATTACCTATTTGAAATATTCTTGATCATTGTTTTGTTATTATACTCTTGATGTTTATTTATATATTTTGTTATTATACTCTATTAAAAAAAGCGTGAATTATTTTTCATATGTTTTTATGTATTTATATTTCTTGTGTGTGTGTGTGTGTATGGGGGGAAGAAACTTTTTTCAGCTTTTTTAAAAGCCATTAAGGTTCATATTTAAAAATGCAGTTATTTGTAATTTTTTTGTAATATTTCTGCACATCCGCAGAAAGTTTGTAGCTTTGAGGTGCGGATTATAGATCATTCCGGATTATCGGTGTCCAAATTAATGACTTTTGACTGTATACAAAAACAGGGCGTGATCTTTACATTATGGTAACTTGGCGAAAATTTGGCGACCAACTCTCCTACAGCAAACCTCTATTTTTTTTTTTTTTTTTTTTTTTTTTTCTTTTTTTTTTTTTTTCCTTTTCTTTTTTTTTTTTCTTTTTTTTTTTTCCCGCCCCGCCATTTTGTCTTCACGAAGAAGTAAAGACATGTTTCTTTTCTTTTTATCTACTGAACACTTCTTCCAACAATCTACTATCCGAATTACACTTATGCTAGAAATTTTATCTAACAAAACTGCTTAATCATGACAAATATTCACTGCAAAATTGGGGAAAAAGTGCACACCCATACTCCTTATCCTTAAGAGTTTTTCAAAATAACACGTACACATGAACCATGTACACGTCGACTTATTTTTACTTAAAAAAAACATCCCAGAATTACACACAAAATGGCATTGCGCACACTCTTCGCTATATCCATGTACAACACTGCTTTTTTTTTCCCATAAATTAGAAAAATTTCACAAAAATACATGACAATTTTCTGAATCTTTAAAAAAACCCTGTAAAAAGAACGTATATGAAATTACCTGATCGCGGAAAAAAGTATTTACCCTTTCCAAATATGAACATTTCCACATATAAATAAATAAAAATCCAAAAACTTTTACCTCTAAATCATCTATTATATTATAAACGTCACCAACAAATTCATACCGCAAGCATTTACAAATACTTAGTGTCAAATATTTAAATTATTTCCATGCACATTTACTTCAACTGAAACGTATACCAAATTGCTACAAACATAAAATTCACAAAATAACTATCATTTAATTAAAATATCACTAAACCATGTACACGTCGACTTATTTTTACTTAAAAAAAATCCCAGAATTGCACAAAAATGGCATTGAGCACACTCTTCACCATATCCATGTACACTCCTTTTTTCTCATAAATTAGAAAAATTTCATGAAAATGCATAACAATTTTCTGAATCTTTAAACCCGTTAAAAATAACACATATGAAATTACCTAATAACGAAAAAGTATATACCCTTTCCAAATATGAACATTTCCACGTATAAAAAAAAAAAAAAAAAAAAAAATAAAATATCCGAAAACTTTTACCTCTAAATTATCTATTATATTATAAATGTCACTAACGAATTCATACCGCAAACATTACAAATACTTAGTGTCAAATATTTAAATTATTTCCATGCACGTTTACTTCAACTAAAACGTTTATACCAAATTCCTACCAAACATAAAATTCCACAAAATAACTATCATTTAATTAAAATATAATTAAATTCAAAAAACTACTTAAAATATAAAATAAATAAGCACATACATTAAATTAATAAAAAAATTAGCTACAAAATCCTAATTACTTTAAACTAAATCATTGCTAATAACAATTTTCCCAATAATACCAAATTACTTTACTTTACTTCCACCTTACATTTAGAACAATGCATAAAAATAATATCCTCAAATAATTAAAAATACTAACTTACCTAATCTTCTTCAGAATCATGATTACGTGTCCGATAAACTTTTCTTGGTACTTTTCCGTTTTGCCGGCGCAAGCGATAAAGTCGCCAATAATGGTACAACCGATGCCAAACGGAATATTCTCTCTGGTAACCTTTTACGCCTCATTTTCAAAACAAGTCGCAGCTTTTTCTTATCAGATTGATTGTTTCTTTCAATAGTGGCATATAATTACATAGAATTTTTATCAGATAGTTCAGTTTTATGTCTAAGGCCATTTTCGGTAATTAAGTCAATCAGGATGCAATCACAGCGCTTACCCGAAGCCGAAAAAAATATAGAAAATGTAAGTCAAGGGTTTAAATTCATCAATTCTAATGAGAATGCATTAGCGAAGTAAAGCACTGCAGCTTTACATAATTTCTGAGTAAGCTATTCGTACGAATTGAAATATTTCTTGCATTTAAAGTTGTGTTTGAAATTAAGATTTAACTTGAAATTAATGTAGATAATTACTGCGAGCAATTAGATTTTTGTAGAGTAGTTTACGTGAGATGAGATCGCTTGGGGTCACGTGATTGATTGAACCGGCGAAATCAAGATGTTGAACCATGAAAGTATAGTAAATTCTTAAATTAATGTCTTTTTACAAATTTATTGTCTTTATTTATTGGCTTTTTATAAAATTTTAAGCGATATTAAAATGTTTATGCCTTCAAAAAAAAAAAAAAAAAAAAAAAAAAAAAAAAAAAAAAAAAGAAATTTTTAGAACTAACATTTTTTTAAATATTTTTTATGTGTATACTATATGTTGTCGCCAATAAAGTCTGCTTGGCGAGATTTGCGCCGGCCAAACGGAAAAGTACCCTTTTCTTATTTCTGTTTCAGGATCTTTAAAATCATACTTATAGTTCACAGCAAAGTACCAGGTAAAATAAATAACTTAATAAAACATCTTTACTTCTGTCTCGCACAACCTTAAAAAAACACTTATTACTACCCCTTTCAATCCCACTAAATACCCATTTCGAATTCACTTTAGTTAGGGCCATGGGATCCAAAAATTAACGAACACTGTTTCACACAACACAGAAAAAAAAGCCAATACAAAATTTCCAGATTTTTTCCCGATTTCCCCCTTTTTCCGATTTTTTTTAAAAGAACCGTAAATTAATTCCATTAAATTCACATGCCATATCCCATGATCTCTCATTTCCCTCACACAAAATAATGTGTAATCGGAACTGAGTACTGCTCACATTATTACCAAAGTCCCAGGTAGTAACCTTTATCTCCTCCAAAATGTCGCCAAACTACCAGTTACAATATTCTAAAGATCAGCCAAAACAGGATCCAAATTTTAAACTTCGCCGACAGCCACGTACTTCACATGCAACTATTCTACAACAAACGAACACAAATAAAAATTACTCCAGCAAAATAAAGTTTCAACATCAGAAGGGTTGCCATATAAAAAACATCATGCCAAAAACCATCGCAGAACACAAAATCATGCCCAAAACCAGTGCAGAACACATATTGCCACATTTGGCCTCTCAATACATCTGAGCGCATATGTAAGAGTAGTACCTAAATATATTTATTAGAATAAAAAAAAATGTATTGTATGAAATTAACCTTTCATCTAAATTTAAATAGTTAACTTACTTTTATGCTTCCTTTCTTGCATTACAGTTATCATAATTATTTTTGACATCAACAATAGTTTGTGGATTTTTTATGGTCCCTGTAATGGAATTGTACTAATTTTCTTTTGGGGTTTGCATTTTGACAAGGATTTTCTTCCTCAACTGCTGAAGTTTTTGTACGCATTTTGCTCTTTCGATGGAAAGCGAGTCATTTATTCTGTTTCTAGTACTAATGTTAGTTTTTTTTTTTTTCTTAACTTCTAAATAAAATATGACATAGATATTTTTATTAAAAGTATTTTGTATTTTCCATTGATATTACAATTCTGGTGTACAAGAGAGTTTTGTCGTATTTTGAAGCTCCAATGCATTCTGGCTAGAATAACAGTTTCACTTAAAAAAATTGAGAAGTACTAGAAATAAATACTGGGTGAATTCAAGTCTTGATGTGTGCAAAACTTTTAATATCTTAAAATAGATACTTATAACAAACAGACTTTGCTAAATTAATAATTTACAACTGATCTTGGCAAAAAAAAAAAAAAAAAAATTCAACATCATAAACATTAACTTTTTTTTTTTTTTTTTTTTTTTTTTTGTGCGTTATGTAGTTTGAGTATGTGTTTTTATATTTACTGTACATGCTCATTAAATGTTATCATTTTAAAGTAATTTTTATTTTTTAGAGAACGGTCAGAATTAATTGGTTGAATTAATCTGTTTCATTTTCAGTTATGCTTAAAATTTCTAGAAAAAGTTGCTTTACTTAATACAGTACAAAGTTCGTAATCCGGACTCGGCAGGACTTCAGCGATTCTGGATTAAGGGTTTTTCCGGATTATAGATCATCAGTTTAAATCTGGTAAGATGGCATGCAGAAATTATACAGTTAAAAATATGAAACCGTAATTTATGAAATAAAGTGCAATTATGATCTAAAGGGTAACAAAATTTACAAAAAAAAGCTTAATATTTATTTGTTTACTTTATTAAACATTTCTTTCAATGCAAGTTGTTTAAGTTGTTTCATTTTTTGTGCTAAACGGGTGTGTGTAAATATTAAATGCACATTCATAAAGCATACCAAAAAAAAAGTTTGTGGCTTTGAGGTCCGGATTAAATCTGGATAATGGATGTCCAGATTACAGACTTTATACTGTATTACAGGCTTCATGCATTATTATAATTTTAAAAGAAGCTATGAAATAAGAATAAACCTTCAGCCAAGTTTAAATACTGTACGATCACATTTGTTAGTCCAATTTCATTTTGGCATTTTGTGTCAAAAACTGTGAATGGCCATTTATTTTTCAAATTGTTGCCACCAAATATTACCACCCTGTGTTATATTTTAAGAAATTAAATAATGAAGAATCTGCGTAAATGTATGGTATGTCTCTCACATTGTTATAGAACAACGCTACCTAGAGCTGTCAAATTTTGAATAATGTAATCCTTCACCAAATATAGGCACCTGGAAGCCCTAATTTGGAATTTGGAATTCATTCTATTATCAATTTCATATTTTGCAACACTTTAACGAATTGGTACTATTTTGCTAGAGCGGCGTCAGTTGAAAATGCGCCGTATTTTTTTTCCCCACAAATTGTTGTCAAGTATAAAATTATTAAATAGTGATAGAGTTCAAATGACTAAAAAAATTATTTCCATAAAAAAGTTTTTTTTTATTTCTTAATTCTTAAAGAAAGTGGATTTTTCCTTTTAATATTTTAATCAACAATATCCTACACACAAATAAAAAGTAATAAAACAAAACAAATTTCAATCTAAACAGGTGGCATAAAATTACAAGGTACTTTTCCGTTTCAAATGCGCAAATATCGCCAAGCAGACTTTATTGGCGACAACATACAGTATACACATAAAAAATATTAACAAATTAACATTTGAATGGTAATGGTTCTAAGAATTTTTTATTTTGAAGGTATAAACATTTTATTATCATTTAAAATTTTGTAGAAAGCCAATAATTAAACACATTAAAATTGTAAAAAGACATTAATTTAAGAATTTACTATGCTTTCATGGTTCAACATCCTGATTCGCTGGTTTATATCACATGGCCCCAAGTGATCTCATCTCATGTAAACTACGTTACAAAAGTCTAATTCTCTCAGTAATTATTTACATTAATTTCAAGTTAAATCTGAATTTGGAGTACAAGTTTAAATGCAAGAATTATTTCAATTCATACAAATAGCTTACTCAGAAATTATGTAAAACCGCAGTGCTTTACTTTGATAGTGCATTCTCGGTAGAATAGATGAATTTAACCCTTCACTTTGACTGAGCGGTGTGATTGTATCCTAATTGACTTAATTACTGCAAATTGCCTTAAGGCATAAAATTGGACTATCTGGTAAAAATTCTGTGTAATTGTATGCCAATTTTGAAAGACAATCAATCTCATAAGAAATGGCTGTGACTTGTTTTGAAAATGAGGCATGAAAGATGGCAAAATATTTGTTGGATGTCAGTTAGGATGTTCACGGTGCGTATTGCGTTCTGTGCTTCGTAAAATGTCTGTGGGTGTTTGGTGGTATAGAACGAGAGAGCAGATGGTGTTTTTTTTTTTTTTTTTTTTTTTTTTTTTTTTTTTTTTTTTTTTTTTTGTAGTGGTTGAGGATAGAAGAAAAGAATGTAATGTTTGTTGGATGTAATTCAATGGAATTATAAGTGGAACTATTTATGGTCAAACGTCGGAGGATACCGGCACTCGACGCCAGTATACAGATTCTAGTTCAGATAATTTGAGGAAGTTTTAGGATGCTGTTAAAGGATTTTGTATTACTGAAGACACGGAAATTTCTAAATAAGGTAAGTGGATATTTCCGTTGTGTGGTATTTAGATGCTGTAAGGAATTTCCTTTATTATGTTATTTCATTGTTTGTTTTAAAATGTAGTTTATTGAGATTATATATTTTTTATTTGGCTCTAGTGTAGAATTGGCTGTTCCTTTGACTTTTTAAGTAAAAATAGATCGATGTGTACATGGACGAAGGGATTGCATATTGCCAAGTTTGTGCAATTCTCTGATTAAGTGAAAATAGCTCGATGCATTCATGAATACTGAGTTTGTGCAATTTTTTTACTTGTTATTTTTGCAGCGCTACTACATAAATCCAAAATAACAAGTCAAAGGATTGCACAAACTTGGTGTCCATGTATCACCAATTTTCGCCAAGGGATTACCCGTAAATATATTTTTACCTATAACTAGTGCCAGAAACATATAAACAGGTACTTTCACAGCATTTTATTTAGGAAAAGGTAAAAGATTGTGAACTGTTCACTGTCTTCAGTGCTAAAGTTCATTTATGGAATGTTCATAAGACTTCCCCCCTTTAAATTTAATATTTCAGTTTGTAAGTAATATTTTTATGAGCATTGTTTAAGCATATTGTATGGCAGTTTCATTGTATTCATTTTTATTATGAATTTATATTTAAAGTAAGAATTTGTTAATGCAATTAGAAGTCTGGAATTAAACCAGAAACTTAATAAAGTAAGAGGAAAAAAAAACACATTTTCAGTTATATGAAGCATGTTAAAGAATTTTGTTTTATGTTTACCCTGCAATGAAATGAAGCTAAATGTCTGTCAAAATATCGTTAAAGTAACTGCCTATTACCATAAATTATACGATAGGAAGAAACTGTGAAGCATTATTCCAGTATCTTTGTTATTTTTTTTTTTCCAATGTCAGATTGTGAACAGTTACAGTGTAGCACAGTCCATTAATCTATACAAGACCAGATGTGGTGTTTTCTTTATTATGGAGGCACCTAATGGGTGGGCCACCATCACCTCCTATGAAGGAATGGACAGTTATAACCATGCCTTCTCTGGGATTCAAGCTCAGGCCCTTTGGTATTGCACTATACTGTCAGTCTCCTCTAACCACTATACTGTTTGGACAGCATTTTTGTTTTAATACATGTTTAAAGTAGCATGGTCAGATTTTTTAGAAAAATAAAAATAAATATATTTGTTTTTCATCAATTTTCTTGGTTTTTAATCTCAAAATTTTTTCTAATTACTTTAATTAATTGATGAATTGTAATAATTTCTTCTATTTATTGTATTAAGTAAACACATCTTTATTTAATACTTTAGTTGATGTCATAATTTAATGCATGAAATAAGTTTTAATTAAGGCTAATTATTTCAGGGCCTCACTAAGCATTTATTGATGGCTTTAATTCAGAAATGTTATACACAGTCAAAATTAATTCCCTACTTGATAGCATATGCTTGTGGAATTTTTCAATTTAATTAGTATATTTTTTATCTTTATAGGGAAGCTGAATCACTGAAAGCTTCTTTATCAGGTATGCTTATATAAATCTGTTTTAAAATTCTGTACGTTACAGCTTATATAAATGATATGATAATCATCTGTGTTAAAATATTAATGAATTAGGAGTTATTTTCAGTTTCACTATAAATTAAACGCTGTATTTATTTCCATAATTTTAAAACCTGTGTTTTTAAAACTTAGGCACTCTTCTGTTATCAGGACCGGATTCTGAAACGTATGAATGGATGTATGTGTGCATGTATATATGTAGGTATGTGTATGTATACTCATATACCTTCATACATATTGGAATCCAGTCCCGATAAACTTATATTTTTTCCTTTGCTTAAATCACACTCTTTAGCACTGCAAACATTTTTAATGTGAAAATTATATTGCTGTGTAGGGTATTAAGCTGCTTAAAATTTTATATGTTACTTGAACAAAATATTTGTAAGATTAGGATATGAAGTATTGTTATAAATGAACATTAGCTGTATAAGAAATAAATTGGAAATATACCTAAATGATTTTTTAAATGAGATTAATGAAATTTTTTTAAATTAAAAATGTAAAAGGCATTTTAATCATGTGTGTATTGAATGTGTTTACACTCTGACTTCACATCAGTATATTTTTGACTAATACCTAAAATTATTTCTGACTCTAATACCTAATATTTTTGTCTGAATATAAACTGAAAATTTATTTGTGTATTTGCTGTCAGAACTCAAAGAAAGTTTTGTTAAAAATAGGAAGTTTTAGAGTGTAAAAATTTTGTATATTTCTATGAAGTCTTTTTGTACCTGTAGTTTCAAAATGGCTTTAAGGAAATCATTAGCAAATGCTTAAAAATTGCAATGCATTTTAACATGTATGTATCAAAAATGGTCTGTTTTATAAAGTGTTTTGTACCTACCAAATGAATTTTTGAAGGTAATTGAAAATTACTATGAATTCATTGAAAAGAAAAACTGCTACAAATTTAAATGGGCTGAGAATACTGGATTTTAGTAAACATTGGGAATGTAATATTTTCCCAAGGAGGTTAGAATAAAAGGAGAGAGTGTTTGAGTTTGTTTCACCGTTATCTGAGAATGTTTCTTCTGTTATCTGAAAATGAAACCTAACAAAGCGGCGGCGGCATTTGTGACTCAGAACATTGCTTCATAGCACTGAAACATAATTGTTTCTACAATGCTCCATGCATAAATTTTACCGTAAAATTATATTAAATTTATGATGAAATTCTTCGCTTTTGCTAAAATTTTGTTTTAAAGTAAACAAAGTGGGGCCATGTTTGTGACTCAAAACATAATTGTTTCTATGATGTTCCATGCATGTATTTTACAGTAAAATTATATTAAATTTATAATGAAATGCTTCGCTTTTGTTAAAATTTTGTTTTAAAGCAATAAAGATGATATCTATAATATACCATGTGCAGGAAATTACCAAGAAATAGTGGGAATTCTAAATGCATATGTATATCATTAAAGCCTTTAAAATAATGTTTCTGCATATTTTAAGGAATTGTTAAAGTTTTATTAGCTACCATTTGAGTGTTTACTAATTTTTCCTTTAAAAACAGATATTTCTGATTTATTTACAATATTATCAGAATTTATTAAAGAATCATATCATATAAAAATGTTTCAGGAATAGGAAAGTTATTTTATTTTAGTACATGTAATAGTTCAGCTTTAAGTTGTAATATTGTAAAACAGAAATCACAAATTTTTATTGGCTATAGCTATGCTATTGAAATAGCTGATTATGTGAGCTAATTTCACAAGACTAGTAGTTGTTGCAAATGATATTTGTTTTCTTTTTTTCTTTTTCTATTTTTGAAGCATTTTATTGGGATATTTTACAATTTTAAATAATTTAATTCTGAATTCATATTTAAGAAAACACTTAAATTTTGCACACTTATCTTTATTCAGTCAAATATCATCATGGAATCATAAAATCCAAAATGGTAAACAAATAGAGATAAATATTAAACAGCAAATATATTTGCATAATACATGTCAAAAGCAACAGCTAATTAAGAGGTAGTTGATTCAGATGGTTGCTCAGCTCAATGCATCTCCAAGTTATATTTAAAAAATTAAAAGATCATTTAAATTCTGTCCTAACTTATTTCTAATGTTTATCTGTGTGTAATGGGAAAATGTCTCCATTTGTTACTGAATAAAAAAAATGCAACAGCGAAAAAAAATCATGCCCATTTGTATTAAAATTACTCAGAAATTGTCTAGTATTTTTATAACAGTACTTGCAATGCTGCAGTTACAACTGTTTGTAATGCATTTCAAAAGGTGTATCTATGTTTTATAAAAAATAACTAATATTCAATTGCAGTTCAAATATACCCTTGGCCATTTAAGTGGAAAAAATGATGTTTTTAAGTAATTGAAAAGAAAACTATAAAAGGGAATAAATATCTTTATAGCATTAAATGAATCCTTTTCATAACCAGCAACCTTCTAACACCGAGAAAATATTAAAACAAAATAAATCTATGCAAATTTAATGATTTAATTTTATACTTGTTTCATATTTATGAAACTCAAAGAAATTTCCTTGAATTACAGAAATTACGTCTTTCTATGTATTTAATTATGTATTTACTTATTTTTATTGCTTTATTGTGTAGAAATCTGTAAGTTGATTCAAACAATTTATAACAACAGAACAGTTTATCTTGATCAAATGCTTAAATCATATGAGTCATAAAAATAGTAATAATTAATTCTTACTTTTCAAAGAAATTATGATTTAAAATCTTTAAAACATTCAAACAGTATAGTTTAAACCCTAATATATATCATTGTATGTTTAGGAACAAAGCTACCAGCTATAAACAGAAAGATGTATTTAATATAATTTAATTTTTTTTTTTTTTTGGTTGGTCACATATGGAAAGAAAATATATAACACCATGATATTTTACTGCATATTTACCAAATTACATAAAGAATTAATACTTACGCATGAAGAGTAATTCCAGGTATTTTTCATAAGTTCTATTCATACATCCATGTACAACACAAGATCCCATGCTTCAAAAATAAATAAATAAATAAAAAAAAAGTTGTATGACAAGTCTTCTTGCAAGAGTCAGTGATTGGAGAAATATAAATGCTGAGGATTTCACTTTTTGAGTTGAACATTCACTCTTTCTATTCTAACCTCCTAGTATTTCTTCTTTCTCCTTAATTATGAAAAATTTAAATTTATTTTCCTGCTGTTCATAATCATTTAAGAAAATGAGTGGAAAATCTAAAATTAAGTAAAAACATATCTTTAGTTTGGCATAGATTTTTAAAACTATTGATTTCAGGTGCAATCAAATGCAGGCCTGTTTTCTTCAGGGGCAAAACTTCTTTTCCAGTTATTCAAAATCTGCTAGACCTTGCACTTACTAAGGTTATTTTATATTGGCATGTTGCTCCTCTGTTGAGGGGGAAGAATTTTGATAAAACTTGCCTTAAAAAAAATTGCATGAATAATTTGTATTGTGTATTACTTAAAATAGAAATTTTTTGTTTGCTAAAATTAGGTGAGAGCCTATCAAGTTCTGATGTCTGGCAAAAGAGGCAAGAATTGTGTCATCTATTTGAATCACTGCTTTTGATTGATTTGGATTATGCCTTGGACAAGAAAGTTGAACAGGATTTGTGGAGTTTTATTTTCAGAAATCCAATATCAGCTTGCCAGTCAAAGGCTAGAGAACATAAGGTTTGATATTTCAGTTTCTTTTTGAAATGAGGGGAGATGTTACTTCTTGTATAGTTTAAAAAAATCTTAATAATACATTTCAAGAATGCTAATAGTGAAACATTTAAGTATTTGATTTTCGTATTTTAATAAGTTTTTGACATATTTGAGATAAAGTGCTGTTTTAAAATTACTAATGCTTTAAAAAGGTTTTGTGTAGAAATCTTTCTATTTGTAGCACTTTAATTACAAGCAGGAAGTCTGCATTCTTTACTGCCTTGTATTTTTTTAATCATGTAATTTTTAATTGTCTAAGAAAAATATTTGTATATATGTACAGAATGCTGCTTATTGTTAATGTTCATTATTGACTATTTTAAAAAGAAAGGTCAAGTTTCTACTTCTTCATGGCAAAGTTGAAATAAATTTTAAAAAAATAGTACAATTTCTAAAAAATCTCATAGTTTTATTAAAATTAAAATTAAGTTTAATAAATAAATTTGCATAGTATCTATGTCAAAACTCATTATTAAACAGTGAACAGTCTGTTATTCTGTGGACAGCTATCTTAATATAGGTAGTTAATTAAAGTATAATTTTATAAAATAAAAGAAACACATTTAGGGAATGCAAATATTGCTTTTAAGTTGCTTAACTTGTTGCATTGAGCATGAAAGATAAAGATCTAATGATGCATTGAATGGTAACAGCCTTCAGAGTTGTCCATTTTGTAGGTTTCTTGGTTTATTGTTGTTTTGATTCTAAATACAATATTAAGAAATTTTAATTACACATATCAGATTTTTATGTCATGTGTTTGGGACTTGCCCTTTTATGTCATATTTGGTTATTTAGTTTTGAGTTTTGCAGTTTTCCTTTTTATAAAATAAAAATACTGTGCATGTATCTTTATTTTCCATTTAGGTAATTTTTAGTGGATTTTGTTTAGATTAATCAAATTCATTGAAGTAATTATACTTGTCTGAATTATTTTATGTTACACATAGCAATTAATCAAAAACATTTAATATGCATATCTAAGGTAGAAAGGCAGGGCAGTGGCAATCCTAATGAGCATTTAATTTTATTATTAGACCTGCCACTGGCTGAGAACCAAATTTAGGTACAAAAGGACTGTTGAAGCATTAGTCATTGAAAAAGTAAACATTTTGTGTTCTAGAAAAAGATCCTCTAATTCAAAGCTTAAGCTTAACCATGCTACTCATAATTCTTTATATTTTTAATCTAAAAATAAATTATAAGTGTTTTTGCTAATTATTTGTATATTTCTTTAGATAGATTCGACATTTTCACTGCAGAGTAGGTTCAAATCGAAAGTCTACTGGAATTTTGGCTGCATTTGTAAGAGGAATTCAAAATCTTATCAAAGAAAGCAAAATTCCTACTACATATGTCTGTGCAGTGGGTTTCTCCCACTACACAGACATATGTAGTAGGAATTTACTTACACAGGTACCGAACAAAATACAGAAGCTGCTTAAATGTAGAGCCAGACACTTATCAGTTATTATTAGCAACTGAAATTAAGAAGACTGTGCAAAATGTACTCATAGCAGTGTCATTAGTGCTTATGCATTGCTTTATATTATGACTTAATTTAAGCCTATTATTGCAGTACAGTGCATTCTAATTGTATTGTATTTAAAAAAATTAAGAAGAAATTGTGTTTTATAAAAAGTTATAAAAATTTTGAATAACAAGTAATGAAATTAAGGGAATTTATTCTATGGACCTTTTTATTGTTGCTTTCACCAATAATATAAAATTTGGTAGTATGTAAATTGTTTGATTTATTGAGTTTTAAATGAACTTTTCTGAATGACCAAATTTTGATCTTATCATGCATGCTTGTGGTAATTGAAAATTCAAAGAATTCTCTTTCTTATTCTCAGAGTAGAAATAGGAATTAGAAAAGAGTAGAAGAATATTATTTTCCCTTCTACTCTGACATCATCTTCCCCCATCTACTCTGAAAAATATGTAAATAAAAACTGGAGCTGGCATTCATGCTCATTCATGTTATTACACAATTTGTTTCTAGCCAACTGTCAATATCTCATTCCAAGATAACTTTTAAAACTATATTTTGACACTTCATCACTCATCTTTTTTTCATCTCTATTTTATGAGCAAAGGAGATATGTAGGCAATATAATCAAAGGGGATGATGAGGTAGCAGAAGACTGACAATTAGCAGCAGCATAGCAGAGTTTGCACTGGAAAATATGTGGAAAATGCTGAAACTCTTCCTAGAATCTTAGACTTGAAATTAGAGTGATCCATTAAATAATACTGATACAGTAAACCCTTGCCAAACATGGGGGGGGGAGGTTCATCATTAATATATTACATATTTGGCAAAATTATATTTCACTAAGTTAACTTTTTATAGAACAAAATTTTAGATATGATTCAGATTATGAAACTGCATATAATTTAAACAAACCTAAATATTTTTGTAATTGAATGGCTTTTTATTACAACTTAATAAGAATATGATAGCAGAATCTGGTGATTTTTGCTTTGGACATTAACTGACACACCTAAGTTTTGCTGTAAGGAAAGCACAGAGTTTTTGAGTGCCTCTCAAAAAGTGGCCTCCTTTTTCTTCATTTGAATCATTCAGATCCTATGCCTTTTTTAATAAATCATTTAACTGCATGCAAGTTAGAGATGCTTGATCTTTATCGCTGTTTTCATTGTCGACTGATATTATAAGATCATCCAAAAATTCACTCATTATTTCTTGATTAAATTTTTTGATTTCTTCTTTTTCCATATCTAAAAATCCTTCCTTTCCAGTTGCTTTTACAATATGCATGATTTCTTTGGGTTCATTTTCAGTTGATGGACATCCTTTAAAGATATAGAGAACTTCCGGCCAAAGCTGATGTCAGAAAGCATTCAGTGTCAATGAATAAAAATTGAACCACATGTAAATGAAGTTCTAGCGTTGAACAAATTAAATGGCAAGAATTACGTGTATATGCTAAATTGCTTTTTGTAAATCCACTTTGTTGTATTTTAAATCTCATACTGTGTATAACAGGATGTTTCATAGATCATGGGACAAACTTGGAGGTATGATGGAGCTTACTAAAACATGCATTTTTTGTATAGGAATGTAGGGTCTAAAGTGACGGGTTAAGGCAGGAATGCAAAAAAACGACACGAGAGGAAAATTTGTGTATGTACAAAGTCAACGCAAAGTGCTTCTTTGCAGCAATACATTATTCACACTAAATATTCAGAAAAGGGAACGTTAACAGTAATAGGAACTACAGCTGTGATTGGCTGGCAATGCAGCGGTAGAGGGCGGTAGTGAGCCGGATGCATCAGAGGATCATTCCCAACTCTGATGTTGAGCGTGATGGGTGAGTTTACACACAAGGAAAAAGCTGACATGCATCTCATATATGGTGCTGCTAATGGGAACGGCAGAGCAACGCTACGGTTGTACCAGGAGCGGTTTCCGAACAGGCGTATGCCGAAGCATGAAATGTTCGAGGTTGCATCCGTCTCTGTGTGAAAACGGGTCATTTGAAGCCACCTCTGACACTAGGAGTGGAAGAAGAAGTGCATGACAACCTTGTGTTGAAGAATCCATCTTGAACATTGTGCATGATCACCTCGGACAAGTACAAGGCTTGCATGTCGTCTGCAGCTGAGTCATTCCAGCGGTTGGAGAGTATTGCATGAAAATGGTTGCACTATACCATTTGCAGAGAGTAAAAGCCTTGCAAAAGACGATTACCTTTCGAGTTTTTCTATCATAGTAGTTCTTGCAACAGTGGCAGCACAGGCGGATTTCCATCAGTGTGATTCAAGAATGACAACTTTTTTAGGACGGCATCATCAATAACCACAGCATGCACATGTGGGCAACTCATTATCCACACGTCCACATGCATTCCAAACCCGTGTGGTGGGTTTGTTAATGACAATAGCCCATACTCTTACATGTAATGTACAATGGCTTATGTTTTATTTTTCTCCAAGAGGTGCTACCGGAATTGCTGCAGGATGTTCTGGCTGTCGTTCGTGATTGCATGTGGTTCCAGCATAATGGTGCACCAGCCCATAATCACGTGCGAGTCTCAATTACTTGGATGGGACATTTCTGGGCCGATGGATTGGCCGTGGTGGACCCGTTCGATGACCATCCCGTTCGCCAGATTTATTCATCTTGGAATTTTTTATTTTTTTTTTTTTATTATTTTTTTTTTTATGGGGCCATCTGAAGAGCATCATTTACGAGACTGACCCACTGGAGGACCTTGTTGCATGACTATCCATTGCAAATACAAGCGTGCACGAAATGCCTGTCGTTTTTCAAAATGTTCATCAATCCCTTCTGCGATGTTACCCAGCATGTATTACTGCTGCTTGTCGCAATTTTGAACATTTATTGTGAATACTGTATTGCTAGAAAGAAGCACTTTGTGTTGATTTTGTACATAAACACGTTTTCCTCTTGTGTTGTTTTTTTGCGTTCCTGTCTTAATCTATTAGTTTACGTCCTACATTCCTATAAAAAAATGCATGTTTTAGTACACTCCACCACCCCTCCAAGTTTGTCCCATGATCTATGAAACACCCTGTACATTCAAGTAGTTAGCACTTTAAAATTATGATACTAGAAATGGAGTGAAACTGTGTGTGCCTTAAATCATATTTCAAAGCAATTTTCACGCATTTAATGGCATTTATTTATTTATTTATTATTTTTTTATTTGTAGAAATCTAATAATACTCATTCAAACAGCCAGTTGTCAACTCTACTAGAGACAGCTAGTGGGTTTTATTTGCAAGTAAGTATTTTCACCCATTCCCAAAGAGGTTGCTTTGGTTTTTGTTGAACAAACCTTTCATTGTATTTAGTATATTTATCTGTATTTTGTCTCTGTACTAGAAAAATTTTAAATAAGAATCCTCTTTAATCTTTGTAGGCAAACAAGTACCATACTCGATTTTTTTCCATTTTTGCAAAAACAGTCACACAAGTTCACAAAAATAATTGACAAACAAAAAATTCACATTCAAAATAGCTGAAATTTTGATTTGATGTTATCAAATAATACCCAAACAAATTCCCCCACTTCGGTTGATTCATGCTGCCATCTACATATTAAGAGTAGAAACGTTTCAGACAGCATTTGTATATAAATTTTGTAATTTGGGCTGTACATAAAAAAGTTTTTATCCCCCCCCCCAAAATCTTGTATTCCTTCATATTTGTAAGATGGAGTTCTAATTTTAATTTCCTGCCGTAACTTTTCTGTTTAATTTTGTTAGTTCTTTTTCTGTCTTAAAAATAGTAAATGCTTATAATAAATCTTGCGATATAAAATTAAACTTTCTAATGTGATTTTTATAGGATAACATTCATATCATACCTTAGCCAATCACAATAATAAAATTTCTGAATTGAAACATGAAATTAACTAATCAAAATGAAGTGAAATCATAACTCGATCAGCATTTATTTGGAAAGTGTATGTACTTTCCAAATGAATTTATTGTTTGTTCTTCACTTCTTTTTGCCCTGCCAACTTGTTTTTGCTTTACTTGCTTCCTTAAAAAAGCATTTTGATTTTCAATAATAATAATAATAAAAAAAATCTGTAACTGGCCTTTATTTATGAGTACTAAACCTATTACATATGCTACATATTTGTATATGCCTCTGTGCAAATATTTAATAGGCAGTATCTCGCATGTGAATTTTTTTAATAATGATAATTTTTTAATAACATTTTCTTTGATGAATTGGCTGGAATTATGTCTATTTTCATGTGTGAATACCAATTTGTGAATATTTATCATTTTTATTTCTTTTAAGCTTCTTCAAAAACTTTGCTGTGCATATGATATTGATCTCCCATGCCATCCAAGAGACTCAGTTTATGGATTGACAAAAGGTAGTCTTTTTTTCTTTAATAAAGTAAATATTTTATGTAATTAATTGAAAATTCAAGTATTACATTTGTTTTATGTTCTTGTTTTATTTAATATGTTACTTTATATTGGTTTTAATATTTTTATATAAATGAACCTTTTTTTTTAAAAAAGAAAAATTATTGTTTGGTTCAGTGCTGGTTAATCCTGACATCTTAACTAGCTTTTGTGTTAAGAAGTTAAACAACTTTGAGTTTTGAAGACTATTGATGTCGTATTTAGAAGACAAGGCTAGTAGTGATTAAAGGTACTGAAGAGCAAATGCATGCAAATTTTTCATTTTTCAGTACCAATCACCATCCTCAGATTAAATTTATACATATCTTAAAAATGTTTAATTTTTAAAACACTTTGTTAATGTGTACTTTTTATTTTCATTCATGTTCTAGAAATTGTTTTTGATAAATCTTTAAATATTTTTATTTTTTGTATTAGTAATTTTCAACATCTTTTTGAAGAGAAAGATGTAATTATAGGAAAGTCATTGAAGTAAAATGGGTAATTTTATATTATCTGCACCCATGTTTCAACATGGAATTGCTGAGTTTCTGGTGTATTTTTTTAGTATACCTATGAAAGTAGGTCACCTGACACAGGGTGCTTCGTCAAAAAAGTCTATCAGATGTGAAAACACTGCTGTTCGAGTCCTTCGCACAGCAGTGGTTTTTTGTAAAATTTTCTGTTTAACAAAGGAAATTTTACCGACAACCATTCCTGGCAGAAGTGTAGGGACAGTTATGGCTGAAATCCTAAAGTACAATGTAAAAAGAACAAACAAGCATTTTTCTTAATTTTCAAAATTGTAATGAGTTTGCAACTTTTTATGAAAATATTGATAATCAGAAAGTACTGTAAAATGTTATAATAGAATCAAAATATCTAATTATTGATTTTAGAAATTATTTTTGTTAGAGTGGATTAGTCGATATCCTGTTGCTCATCAGCCACGTAAATCTTCTCTTCTGTACATTTGTCAGCATTGTCTTGTGCACTTGGGTGATATTGGTAAGTATCTCTATATGTAAACCTCTTGCATTTATTATTTTAAAACTTTAAGTATTTTGTTCCATAGATTCAAAAAGTGTGTAATAATGATCTTGTGGTTGGATTTTTGTTTATACTTGTTAAAATTAAATAATCATCGTTTAAAAAGGTTAGGATGATTATTCCCCCTCTTCTCTGTGTTATTTGTTAACATATTAAAAGTAGAGTTATTATCCATCAGAATGATACGAAGGAAGATTTTAAAAAATGCCCATTGAAAGCTGTTGAGATTAAATGAATATTATGCCAGTCTTCACCTATCTAAATATTTCTTCCTAAAGTTGTGTCCGTTACTTAAGTCTGCGAAATAGCTTTAAGTGGTAAATAAGCCTATGTAAAATTCTTGATTTTTATGAAAAAGCTGTTTGAATAATTCTCTACTGCTTGATCTCTATAAACCCATTTAAATGTTGTGTTCATACATTATGCTGCTTGGATAATATGAATTAGCTTCGTGTAGTTCTTTAACTCTCATTTAAGGAAAAGAAATTTTATTTTGGGCTTTTGATTTTTATTTTAATGTTTAATCCTCTAATTGATCAGGCCATATGTATATATTCTGTCTACCGGAAAGTTATATCCGTTTTATGACAACAGTTTTCAACACGTAAGCACATGTTTATTTGCCATATGTTCGGCTCTCTATTTTTATTGCTTAATGCATACAATTGAATAGAAGTTAACTAAAATAATTGGTTCACGTTGTCTAAGTGTAAGCGATAGTGTACCCGTGGCCACTGATAAAGTTCATTTACGCCACGTATTTTATACGAATTTCAACAAGGAAGAAATGCTACAGAAGCATGCCGAAATTTATTGAAAGTGTTTGGTGAAGGTCCAGTTTCTGATAAGAAGATGGTTCGAAAAATTTGAAACAGGTGATTTCGAACTTTATGATAAGCCACGTTCTGGGTGGTCATCTTTGATTGGCGACAGTGTTGTTATGACCATGTTTAAGCAAAATCCTTTTCTGACAACATCGGAGATCGCAGAAAGGCTTAATTCAACTCAGCAAACCATTTCGAACCATAGTCAGACGATAGGATTGGTGTGGAAATATTCAAGATGGGTGCCATATGAATTAAGTCGGAAGAATTTGGATGATCGAGTCGTCATATGCATGTCTCAGCTTGCTCCGAACAAAATGAGGCTCTTCTTGAACCAGATGATAACTGGGAATGAAAAGTGGATCACCCACGGAAACATTGTAAGGGAAAGGACATATTGTGAATCCAGAAAACCTAGCCCTCCCACCTCTAAACCAAATTTGACTCTGAATAGGTAATTTGTGTATATGTGGGCTTCGAGACCAGTCATATAGCTTTTAAACAACAAAAGCTCAATTCGGAGAGAGCACTGGCGCATTAGAAAATTTAAAACGCAGCCAAGAAAAGGCCTCAATTTTCAACAGGAATTACAATCGTCTGCATCAAATCATGCAGCACTCGCTTGGGACTCGTCAAAAAATTGCGACTAGCTGGAATTCTGTCAACATTTTACAAATTGTGAAGGGCAAAAATCAAAAATAAGATAGCAACAAGCACACTCAATTTTTTCATCAAATTGCATCATTTCTCAAATGGATCACAATTGCTCTCCCTGGGCAAGAAGTCATTAATAATAATGGCAATTATATTATTTTAATAAAGCTTATTGACGGTAAGAAAAATTTGTATTTTGTTTTTTTTTTCCAAAAATGGACAGAACTTTCCGGTAGACTGTATATATGCATCCTAGAATATTTTTTGTAAAGCTTTTAAGTAAGTATATGTGCATCTTGAAACATATCCAAGAAATTAAGGCAGTATATTAAAAGAAAAGAAATCGAAATATAAAGTACCAGAAGCATTTGGGTGTTATAATCAGTATATAATTCGTATGATATATGTGACTGGGTTTCCAGGAGATGATTGTACAGACACAGTTAATTAATTATTTAATTCAGTTGAGTACACTGATGGCTATTTACAAATGAAGTATTACAGTGTAAACCGTTTATCTTTCTTTTATTACACCACATTGTCATTTTCTCGTGACATCTTTCTTTTAATGGCATCAATAATCTCTTCTTTTTCTATTCACCATGCCTCTTACTTCACTCTCTATTGCCAATTGTGATGTTGCAATCACCCTCCTGTTACTCACACTTGGTTATATTAATGCTATAGTTCTCCTGACAATGATGAAAATAATTAAATAAAAAAAGGGGGGAGTTGTTCATCTGTGTTTCTCTAGATTGTCTTTAAAATGCTTTGAGGGGAGGAAAGAAACATGTTTCCTCCAGACCAGATGTCTCCAAACTACGGCCCGAGGGCCACATCCGGCCCGCGGACAGATTTTGTCCGGCCCGCGGAGAGCTAGCATACTTGAAAACTCCTTTTAGAGAACATATTTTTTATAGCAAATTTAGTTTACTGAAATATTCTAATTTTATGTTAAATAATTATTAATATGACATCTACATTGATATGGTCATGGGCTAACTACTCATAACATTGTTGTAGGCTTATTGTTATGTTTTTTTGTGATAGTTGGATAAAGAAACACAGAATTGTATGAGTAAAGACATGTATAATATGCAGAAAATTTAACTTCAGTATATAATAACTAACAAATTATTGAAATGAATCCAACTAACATTTTATACATTTTAAATAAAACATAACTTATAACACAGAATGACATATGAAATACTAATGATTTATGTAAATGAGATTTTCCACTGACAATAGTTTGTAGTTGTGGACTAATTTTACTTGTACCAATTATTAAAAGAGATTTAAGATGCTCATCAGTTAATTTAGATCTGTAAACATTTTTTTGTGTACTTCATTTTGGAGAAGGTCTTCTCACACACAATAAGTAGTACCAAAAACATAAAACGCCCACGAGCAAATTTATGCAAATTATCAATTGTGTCAGTGGAAGACTCTATAAAATTCCAACAAAGATGAGTTTTGATATATGTTCTTAATTATATCACTGCACTGTAGATCAATCATTACCATTTGAAGTTCCGGGGCTAGGGTTTCAATGTCAGTATCAAAAGGATTCTGAAAAATCTTAATTTGATTCGCAATGCATCAAAGTCCGAGAAACGAATATCAAAATTTATTTTCAAAGCACTCAAAGTTTCGATTGCAAAAATCGATAGGAAACTCAGTCTCAGTGGTGTGGGGCTGAATATTTCACATGTTTAAAATGTAAAAAACATTTACTTCGTAGTTGTGATTGAAACAGTATCAATTTCTTCCGGAATGATTTGATATTAGTGCATAAATCAGGAAGATGCTGGTTTTCTCCTTGCAATCTCAATTCAGTTCGTTCACATGTTTTGTCAAATCACATAGAATGCTAACTTCCACAGCCATGCATGCATGTTTTGTAATTCAGTAAGAGGGCGATGCTTTTCATTCAAAAAATTTCGATCACTGCTCGAAGTTCAAAAAGCGAAGGACTTTCCCACAACTAAGCTTTCCCACAACTAAGCCAACGTACAGCAGTATGATAAGGTAAGTCATTTTCTCCAATCTCTTCAATAAATTGTCGGAATTGTCGGTGATTCAGCCCAAAAGATCTGATAAAATTAACAGTTCATATGACTGGTTTCAGAACTTCAGACATATCCAAACATTTTCCGCACAAAGACTGTTGATGAATGATACAATGTAGACTAATGGTTTTGAACCACCGTCATTTTCCTACAGCCTTTGACACAAGAGCGACCACTCCTTTATCTTTCCCACTCATGTTTTTGCCTTCATCAGTTGTAATACATTTCAAGTTTTTTCCTTCGAAGGTTCTTTTGATTAATGGCCATTTCAACTCCTTTAAAATATCTGTACCAGTAGTTTGTGCCATGATACTTCTTCATGCACTTCATATCTTTATCTACTCCTCGAATATAAATCAACACCTGAGCAGTATCTGACACATCCGTTGACTCATCCAAGGCCAAAGAAAAACACTCAACATGTCCATTTTTGTCGAACAGTTGAGAAGATATAGTTTTCAGCGATGTTTTCTACCCTTCGAGCCACAGTGTTTGCTGACATACTGACATTTTTTAATAAATTTACCTTTTCAGGCATTTTCTTCGGCTACTGCAATTATGCATTCTTTGATCATTTCTCCATCGGTGAATGGTTTTCCACGTTTTGCAATTTCAAGAGCCACACGAAGCTGGCACAGTTGCAGCCTCTGTTTCAGTTTTGAGTTTTATAAATGAAGATTGCTGCGATTTCAATCCGCGCTTCATAGCTTTGAATTTTTCTGTCCGCAAACTTCCTGTATATTTTGAGTAATTTTGAAAATGTTTTGTTTCATAATGACGTTTAATGTTATATTCTTTGAGAACGGCTATGCTTTCATTGCAAATCAAACATAGCGCCTTGTTACTGGACTCAATTATGAAATACTGAATGTCCCACTGATCTTTGAATTTTCTGCATTCACTATCAATTTTTCGCTTCTTTTCCATACTACTAAATCACACACAAAAGCAACAATTCAAATCAAAATACTGTTACAAAGATGTCTTAAACTTAAACACGAACAAACACGTTTTAAGGAGGTACGCACTATTTTATTTCACAACAGTGTCATAGGAACTGACTTCTGTACGTGCTATTAGCGCCATCTGTGCCATAGAAGGTACTACCCTATTTCCGCTTGTGTCCACCATATGTCGTGTCACGTTACTCCTCATGGCTCGTACTCTACGACTAATCTAGAAATTACAGATAATGACAGGAAATTAATAATGCAGTGTTGCCGTTTTGCGGACTTTAGTCCGATTTGCAGCCTTTTTTTAAACGTTGCGTACTTTTTCGGACTTTTTTTTTCATCAGTGGACTATTTCACTTTCTACCACCGGCAACAATGATAATATGGTTTTGGCCCGCGGAACTTACTGGAGTAATCAATATGGCCCTAAGACTGGAAAGTTTGGAGACCCCTGCTCCAGACCATTTTAAATGGACTTCAGAAGCGTATCTGGAACATCTTGGCGAAGGGAGGAAAATTACCATTTTAATAAATCTTGTATATGTATAAAAATTCTATGTAGAGGGAAAAAAAAAAAAAAAAGAGGGAGAAATATAAGCTATAAAATAAATGAAAAACCATACAAAAGGAGAAAGTGTTGGATTGAAGAAAGAGGTATTGAGTATTTTACATCTGTTTGAGTGATACATAGTTCTAAACAAAGAATTCGGTTTAGAGAAGTCCGTGGTTTCATCATATCAGCAGCTGGGGAAGTTTAATTAGTGCTTCCATGCCAAATTTCTCTACTTCACAGAAGTCATTTGGCTTAACACTTGTGACTTTATAGGGACCTACAAATTTTGAATGGAGTTTTGTTTTGGTTCCATGTTGAGTTCATTGAAGAGCTACTTTTATCACCAAATTTGTATATGATCGGTCACTTGTAGCTCTTGCTATAGTGATGTCTGTTTTTTCTTTGAATATTTAGAATGTTTCTCACTTCATTATGCAATCTTTCTTTCTTTCTTTTTTTGGGGGGGGGGTAAGGTGAACTAGAAATGCTCTTACTGAAAGTTGTTTTATATTGACATCTTCTTTATTTTCCATCTTTATGCCAGAAAGTAGCTCAAAGATTGAAAGTGCTGGTTTGAGAAGCAGTGCTATTGTTGATTCTTTGAACAGAGGCACAACAGAGGCAACATTTTTAAACCATATTTTTGGGTTTTTATAATGATAACTTGGTTAGTACAGGAGTCCAAATACAGTGCATGGCTTCATTTTGTCCTCTGCATAGAGTGCCAGTAGTTATTGTTGCATTCCAATATTCTTGTCATGATTCCTGATTCTTAAGTGCCTAAAGTAGAGATAGAAAAAAGTGAAAATGCAACTATTAAGTTTAACATAAATTCAAAATTATTTCTTTTTTGAGAATGAAGAGTTCATAAAATATTACATCAAAAATATCCTTTCCTTTTTTGAGATATAATTTCTTTTATTATGCGGTACTAAATTGTATACAAAAGTTTTTGAAGTTTTGTGAATTTTTTGATGATTTTTTTAACAAACATGATAAAATTGATAAATATCATTAAAATGATGGTAATATATTAAAATTATAATAAGGAATAGCATTAAAATAAAACATTTATTTTCCTTGTCCTATTGTAAAATAACATTACTTTCCATTTTGGGAACTTAGAAATATTTTGATTTAAAAAAATAAATAAGATAATCAATGTGATGAAACACAGTTTCTGAAGCACTTCTTAGGAAAGGCAAAAAAAGCTACTCTAGTTATTTTAAAATTAATTAAATTTTTCTTTTATATTTTTTCACTAAAATTTTTTTTTCTCGTGTAGTTGTTTCAGAATATTCAAAAGTGTATCAATTTTCTATTAAAAATTCACTTATCACTTTCCTTTTCTGAATTTTATTATTGAAAAGACTTTTTGCTCTTACATTGCTTTGCAGAGATAATTTTTATATCTTGCACCTCTGAAAAGGTTTATAAGGATTTGAAAGCAAGATTTATAGACATATGGTTAAAAAAAAAAGTCCCTAAATGAAAGATGTTTTCATGGTATTAGCACATAATTAATGTTTTTTATAGGAAAATTGGGATGAATTTCTTATTTTTTAGAATATTTTTGAGAGAACACTGAAAACAAATTTACATCTCTATTCCTCAATTTACAAGGAAGATGAGTTCCACACAAAACGGTGTAAATCGAAATCTTGGATTTTTGCTATGTAAAACCATGTAAAACGAAAAGCACACTAATAACATAAACATACATACTTTTGTTAACATAAAACAAAAGTAAGACATCTTAAAATAAATAAAGTTATACTTCGTTTTTAAAATTATAAATATATGTAGGTAATAGAAGTACATATTTAATTTATTTTGGATTAGAAAAATATAAGATCATTCAAAAAATAATTATAAGTTTACTGTTATCACTTTCATGAACTATTAGTCTTTTCTTCTTGATTGGTATGATGTCACTTTCATCATTTGAGCATTCTTGATAAGATTCTGCTTCAATGGTTGACGAATTAACGAATATCTCAGATTGACAAGTCTTTGTAGTGAAATCCATAATTAACAGTTGGCTAGGTTTTTCCCTAAATCTTGTAAACCTCCTTATATTGATTTAAGCACTTACTAAGCTCCCGTTGGAATCGGAGAGCTCATTCAACAACATAACTCGAATCATTCTTTGATAATGATTATAATCTCTGATAATGGTTTAATGAAAAAAGTGTATAATCTTGTACTTTTTCAAATGTAATTCAGGCTCATGAATATGCTGCCTTTAAGACTTCTGTTTTTCCTGAGATGAATTTTTAACATTTAGATAAATACTGCTCTTTATTGCATTCATTACTATAATTTTATAAATACATTAATTGCATATCTTTATAGCACGTTATAGAGGTCAGTCACTTCAAGCTGAAAACTTTTATCGTCATGCTGTAGATTTGGTACCAAGCAATGGTCAGTTTCATTTTATTTAATTACCTTTTAGCAGTTTTACATTAGGAAGATATATTTCACAGTATGTATTATTCATGCATTAATTTTTTTTTCACTCTTTAAATAAAACAAACAAATCATAGGTCAGCCATATAACCAGTTGGCTTTGTTGGAAGCAGCTAGTGGAGAGAAACTTTCGACTGTATTTTTTTATGTTAGAAGTTTATCAGTTCAACATCCATTTCCATTAGCTGCCACAAACTTACAAAACCTCTTTTCAAAAATGTCTTCTGATGGGTAAGATTTTGCATTTTAGATATCTAAATTATTCTTTAATCTCTTCATTTTCTAGTTTTAGTAAAAATTGTTTTAATTTATCAATTATTCATTATACGTTCTGCTTCATAATATCTACATTTTTATTCTTAGGAGTTGTCCTGATGGGAAAAATCGTATGACTGCATTTGAATATGTGACGGTGTTCTTACAGTTTCATGCAGTTGTTCACTTAAATAATGGTAAATCTGAATACTTTAAATGTTTTTTAAAAATAGACATGCCTGTAATTTAAAAATTTTTTTAAGTAAAATAGTTTTTGTGTATTTTCATAGTGAAGAATTTAACTATGCTTAGTAGTAGAAGGTGAAAATTCTTTGGGAGAAAATGGGCCCTTTCTGACTTAGTAGTCTGATAAGACTCCTATGTGAATCTTCATTTTCTAGCCTAATCTTTCCGAATTACCGATATCGTATTTATAGAACAGTATAAAACCTGCCAAAGCAAAATCTTAATGAAAATAAAAAATTTAAATAGATTTATATTATTTCTTTAACAAATATTGATATCATGTTAAATTAATGAGTGCAGAATAGTGAATATGCTTTTAATATTTTGTATTAAGACTTTATTTTCATTAATATTTTAAAATTATAAAAATGTAATTGCTTGGAAAGTGACATTGAAAAATTCTCTTATTTATACTCATGATACTTTGATAAAATTTTTTTAAGTAAAATAGTTTTTGTGTATTTTCATAGTGAAGAATTTAACTATGCTTAGTAGTAGAAGGTGAAAATTCTTTGGGAGAAAATGGGCCCTTTCTGACTTAGTAGTCTGATAAGACTCCTATGTGAATCTTCATTTTCTAGCCTAATCTTTCCGAATTACCAATATCGTATTTATAGAACAGTATAAAACCTGCCAAAGCAAAATCTTAATGAAAATTAAAAAATTTATAGATTTATATTATTTCTTTAACAAATAATTGATATCATGTTAAATTAATGAGTGCAGAATAGTGAATATGCTTTTAATATTTTGTATTAAGACTTTATTTTCATTAATATTTTAAAATTATGAAAATGTAATTGCTTGGAAAGTGACATTGAAAAATTCTCTTATTTATACTCATGATTTTTAAAAATCCTTTTAAGTAGTGCAATAATTTCAAGTTGACTGAAGTGTTTGAAAACTGGAGAATTGTTGATTATTGTATTCTGCGAGGAAGAAGGATCATATTTGGAACTGAAAAATCATCATCATCTGATGACCTCGTGTCACATATTAAAAAAATAATTGGAAGCAATATTCACAAAGCAAGCTTGATATTTCTCTGCTGTGATAACATAAAAAATTGGACCTTGATATGAATAAGAAAATTTGCTTCAGAAATGTGAATTAAAACTCGTCTGTTTTGCTATTTTTGTAATTGTGTGCCTACTTTAAGAAAATGAATTATAAAGCGATGTACAAGTAATTCATGGGAGTATTTCCTTCATGTAAAAGTGTTAAGTGTAAAAGGCAATAAAAATATAAATTGCATTCTGATGGATAGTAGAAAATAATATTTTAAAAGCTTTGAAAGAAAAATAATAAAGCAGTATAAAAAAATTGAAAGAGCTTTTCAAATGTGCAGATTATTTAATTACAAATTTTAGTAGTAGCTTTAAAAAAACAACCTATTTAACTCGAAATCAAGTAGCTTTAAAATGTGAAATATGTGAATGGGGTGGCTGATTTGCATTTTTTTTTCCATGTGTAATGCGAGTGGATACGAGCGAGTTTCCTTTAAAAAGTCCTCTACAAATGCATTCTTTCCTATAGGCAGACAGCTTTTGCTTTGTTCCTTAATCAAATAACCTAACCTAACTTAATCTTAACAACTACTCAGTTGAAAATTATTGAATATGAAATATTATTACATGTTTTAAATATTAACATATATATATGAAGAAAATGTGAAAAACATCGCAAAGAGAAAAAGGGATAAATAAGAGGGAAATATTTTGACAAAGTCAAAAACTCTTTTGTTAAAGAACTTAAAACTGTTTTATGTTTAAAAAAATGGTATAACTATGAGCAACATCAGTGTAATTTTTATGCTCTTAATTGAAAGGAAAATTAAGTAAGTATACTTTTTACAAAAATCCCTGTTGTAAGGTTTGCCTTTAGTTTAATCCCTGTGCTAATTCTTTTGGTATATTCCATGCTTATGCAGTTGCATTAATACTACTGACAGTTAACAAAAATGTTCTAGAAGTGAAATTGTGGATTTATTATTGCCTTTTAACCCATTTTCTTTACCATGTATTCTGTTTTTGACACCAGAAAAGTTTATGCAAGTGCTAATTTTAATCACCTCTCTGTGTCTCCTGCCAGCGGGAAAAAAAAAAAAAAAAAAAAAAAAGCAGCAGCAGCTATGACGTGCATTTAAAATGGAGTCCAGCGTCTGAAAAGTTGCAAACAAATCAATTCCTTCTATGGCTTACCATACAAACTCAAAATTAAATTTAAGAGAGCAAAGAAATATATATATATATATCCAGAAAAGCGGTATTTATTTAACATGAAAAATTTGCAGAAATTCACGGTTGATCTTTACAATATGGTAACTGGTAGTTTGGCGACATTTTGGAGGCGATAAAGGTTACTACCTGGGACTTTGGTAATAATGTGAGCAGTACTCAGTTCCGATTACACATTATTTTGCGTGAGGGAAATGAGAGATCATGGGATATGTCATGTGATATTAATGGACGAATTACAGTTCTTTAATCGGAAAAGGGGGGAAATCGGAAAAAAATCTGGAAATTTTGTATTTAGCTTTATTCTGTGTTGTGTGAAACAGTGTTGGTTAATTTTATCCCATGGCCCTAACTAAAGTGAATTCGAAATGGGTATTTAGGCATTGTGATAAAGAGAAGTTTGCTTTTTATTTAGCGGAGGAAGTATGGAGGAAAAATTCGCAGAAAAAATCTTTCAATAATTTTATTGAATGAATTAGAAAAGTGTATCCGCCACATAATCAAGATTCTGAAGAAGATTAGGTAAGTTAGTATTTTTAATTATTTGAGGATATTATTTTTATGCATTGTTCTAAATGTAAGGTGGAAAGGAATTTGGTATTATTGGGAAAATTGTTATTAGCAATGATTTAGTTTAAAGTAATTAGGATTGTAAGGTAATTTTTATTAATTTAATGTATGTGCTCATTTATATTTTAAGTAGTGTTTTTGAATTTTATTATATTTTAATGAAAAGATAGTTATTTTGTGAATTTTATGTTTGTAGGAATTTGGTATACGTTTTAGTTGAAGTAAACGTGCATGGAAATAATTTAAATATCTGACACTAAGTATTTGTAATGGTTGCGGTATGAATTCATTGGTGACGTTTATAATATAATAGATGATTTAGAGGTTAATAGATGATTTAGAGGTAAAAGTTTTTGGATATTTTATTTATTTTATATGTGGAAATGTTCATATTTGGAAAGGGTAAATACTTTTTTCGCGATCAGGTAATTTCATATATGTTCTTTTTACCGGGTTTAAAGATTGAGAAAATTGTCATGTATTTTCGTGAAATTTTTCTAATTTATGAGAAAAAAGCAGTGTACATGGATATAGTGAAGAGTGTGCTCAATGCCATTTTTGTGCAATTCTGGGATTTTTTTTAAGTAAAAATAAGTCGACGTGTACATAGTTTAGTGATATTTTAATTAAATGATAGTTATTTTGTGAATTTTATGTTTGTAGGAATTTGGTATACGTTTAAGTTGAAGTAAACGTGCATGGAAATAATTTAAATATTTGATACTAAGTATTTGTAATGCTTGCGGTATGAATTCGTTGGTGACGTGTATAATGTAATAGATGATTTAGAGGTAAAAGTTTTTGGATATTTTATTAATTTTATATGTGGATATGTTCATATTTGTAAAGGGTAAATACTTTTTTGTGATCAGGTAATTTCATATATGTTCTTTTTACCGGGTTTAAAGATTGAGAAAATTGTCATGTATTTTCGTGAAATTTTTCTAATTTATAAGAAAAAAGCAGTGTACATGGATATAGTGAAGAGTGTGCTCAATGCCATTTTTGTGCAATTCTGGGATGTTTTTTTAAGTAAAAATAAGTCGACGTGTACATGGTTTAGTGATATTTTAATTAAATGATAGTTATTTTGTGAATTTTATGTTTGTAGGAATTTGGTATACGTTTAAGTTGAAGTAAACGTGCATGGAAATAATTGAAATATTTGATACTAAGTATTTGTAATGCTTGCGGTATGACTTCGTTGGTGACGTGTATAATGTAATAGATGATTTAGAGGTAAAAGTTTTTGGATATTTTATTTATTTTATATGTGGATATGTTCATATTTGTAAAGGGTAAATACTTTTTTGTGATCAGGTAATTTCATATATGTTCTTTTTACCGGGTTTAAAGATTGAGAAAATTGTCATGTATTTTCGTGAAATTTTTCTAATTTATGAAAAAAAAAGCAGTGTACATGGATATAGTGAAGAGTGTGCATAGTGCCATTTTTGTGCAATTCTGGGATGTTTTTTTAAGTAAAAATAAGTCGGCGTGTACATGGTTTATGTGTATGTGTTATTTTGAAAAACGTGTAAGGAGTATGGTATTGTGCACTTTTTCCCAATTTTGCAGTGAATATTTGTCATGATTAAGCAGTTTTTTTTTGATAAATTTCTAGCATAAATGTAATTCGGCTAGTAGATTGTTGAAGAAGTGTTCAGTAGATAAAAAGAAAAAAAATGTCTTGTACTTTACTTCGCGAAGAAAAAAATGGCGGCGGGGGAAAAAAATAGAGGGTTGCTGTAGGAGAGTTGGTTGCCAAATTTTCGCCAAAAAATCGCCAAGTTACCATAATGTAAAGATCAACCGAATTCACAATGTATTTGCTATAAAAAATAGTGTGTTGATGCGTATGCAAAAAAGACTAAATATTTTCAACAATAAAGTTAATTTACTTCTTTAGTTAAAGTATGTTAAGAATTTTGTTGAAGTATATAAGAAAGATTTCAGTTAAATATGTTATGCTGAATTTTCCAAAAATCAGAATGTTTGTTTATATCTGAAGATGAACACATGTTAAGCTGTTACAGCTTCCTGGAATTATACAGAAATATGGAATAAAAAATTTTAGTTTCTTGAAAACAAATATGTAACATTGATATTAGTGGGAAATGTGATATTTTGCTGACTGGAATACA